GACGAGGTGGCCGCGCCGAGCCGGGCCGGGCGTGGGGGTGGGGGTCCCTATCCTTTGCTGTTCGACCCAGCGGAAGCTTGCAGCCACCTCGGGCACTCGCCGAGAGCTGCACCCAAACTTTTCGCTCGAGCTCCATCTCCACAGGCGGGGAAGCAGCCTCCCTACCCGCGCCCCAGAGCCCCGAATCGGGAGCCCGGGCCCCGCACTCCCTGCGCTGGGCTGGGGCGCCCGCGAACCTGAGGCTCCGTCCTCGGCTCAGCTTAGCTCTTCCCCCTTCGCGCCTCGGGGGTCTCCTCGCTCCAGGGTTCCCGAAGTCCTGCGCCCGAAGGACAAACCAAACTTAGGTCGAGTGATGGGGACGGGGGGTGGTGCAGATACACAATCCCTGCCCTATCTCGCGATCGGGAAAGGAGAGGGCTCATAAGGACGCCCCAATTCCGGAGCGCCCTGGAGTCTGGGAAGCGCCACGGTCGGTTCGCGCGAAGTGGGCACCAGTCTTCCGAGCAGACTTTCGTGTGCTCCGGTCCCTCACCGCGCTCTCTCAAGTGACTCTTTTTCTCTTAGCGTCTTTTTAAAAACTCAATCTTTTGTGTGTGGGTGACTGTTTCTGTTTTCCTCCGGCTGCCCCCCGCCCCCCGCTTGTTATAACTTTTTTCTTTCTTTCTCTCTGTTCGGCCTTTCTTCACCTTTTTCTCTTCTCCCCCTTATTTTCCCTCTCTTCTGCCCTCACTCGCTGGCTTGGTCACACACACACGCACACACACACACACGCACACACACGCACACACACCCTCCACCTCGCCTTGCCTTTCTCCCCAGGTCCTGTTGGTTACAGTAGATTTTGATAAAAAGACAAACGAAGCTATCAGTGGGGCTGATGTTGAAGAATGAAGATAATAATGTTTCCTTAGGTGGTGCTTCAAATGCCATTATTTCTCACTGAATATTTAAAGAGATCCCTCAGCAAAGATGGATCTGCGTGCTCCTGGGGTGCGGGCCGCGCGCTCCCCCCAGACCTCCGGGGAAGTGTGCAAGAGGCCGTGGAAATCCCGCACCCACCTCACCCCGCAAACTGGTCCTCGCGGACACACCCGTCCGCACTCCCACAGGTCCACGAACGCGTCCTTAGGCACTTGCACCCTCGTTTCTCTGAATAAGCCCGCGTTCGGAGCCGCCCGCGTCGATCTCTACCAATCTTGGTGTCTTGATGGTCGGGGCCTCGGGGCACCGCGTGCGGCCGGGAACCCAGCCGAGCTGGCGATCCATCAGACCCTTCCTCCCGCGACGCGCCACTTGCGCTGCGGGAAGCTCCCGGGAACAGCTTCACATGTGTTCGTTACTTGCTCCGCGTGTGATTAAGCTTAAGGCGGGGGCGGGGGGGGGAGCTTTCCCTCCCCCTAAACACTAAAACAAACAGCCAAACAAATGCACACGCAAAAGCAGCTTCTGGATAGTTAACTAAAAATGGGCGAGCAGAGACTAACTAATTGAGAGGATCCCAACTTTAATAACTTCTTTCGTTCTTTCGCGTCCTCGACGGCGTACAGGCGGGCGTTGCGCTCCGTGCGCCGCATCCCCAGCTAATTTCTTGTTTGTTTTCTTTCCCTCTGTGGCCCAGAGAGGGGAGAGGGGAGGTGGAGGAGGGGGGGATGGGAGGAGGGGGATGGTCGGAATGGCGGGGAAAGGAGAATTGGTCTTTATTGTTGATGGCAATACATCAATTACGGGCCATTGTCTCGGGCCCAAGTTCCAAGGGTCGCTAACGCGGCGCCGCGAAGTCAGGGCGAGGGTTAGGCTTCGCGTGCAGCGAGGCAAAGAAATAACTAAATTAATAAAAAAAAAAAAAAAAAAAAAAAAAAAAAAAAAAAAAAAAAAAAAACGGAGACAGAGTAGGGGATGGCTTTTACTTTCGTGCGGGTCGAAAGAAGGTGGCGAGTGCGAGTGAGGTGCAGCCTCTGGAGCCCCTGCCACGCCTCGTTCACTCACCAGACCAGCGCGCTCTCCGGGGGGTCGCGCGGTGCCAGCCTTGGGTGGGGCAGCTGCTGGGGAAATCGGGGGGACGGGGCTCGGACTTGCCATTTCCACCAGAGGGCCTGACCCTATGGGGCCGATCCACGCTAGAGAATGGGGGTGGCCCGAAAGAGAAGCCGCGGCTGCGCCAGGGTCGTGACCTCGTGGGCCGACAAGAACCGCATCCGGGGGAGGCACCTGGCGAGTGGTACAAACTCACATTTTAAGGGCTCGGTGCCTGCGTTTCTCCCCACCCGTCCCTCGGGTTCCCCAAGACCTAGAGCGTCCGCGGTAGGTTGGCGGGGCGGAAGGGCTGTGTCCCCAGGCACAGCTGAGTTCCCAGCGAAAGGGGTTCCGAGCCTCTCGGCTTCATGCCCGATCCTGGGCAGGGAGGAGGGTGTCGAGCCTCCCCGTTCGGAGGCCTGGTTCTTCCACCCGCAAAAACATCTTATTCTGGCCCAGCCTGACCCCGGGATCTGGGATGGAGCCTGGAATGAGGCCTGGCCTGGGCCCCGGACCCTCCTTCTCTTTCCTCGGGCGCGGGTTGGGCACCCAAGACCTGAAAGACGCCCCCATGCGCTCTGCCCGCGCCCTCCTCGCCCCAGCTTCCTCAGCCCCCAGCCCCAGGCCCCCGCTGGCCCCCGGCAGAAGCTAGGAGGGCAGTAGAGGAGGTTTCGTTTTCTTATGCCAAGTAAAAAGCAGCGAGAAGGCGGCCCCGGCGCCCGGGGGGCAGGGGCGCAGGCACCGCGATGGTATCGACGTTATTGATGGGGAAACGTTCGGCCGGAGCCGGGAGATCAGGTTCCCAGCGGGCCCCCCGCCCTCCGCGGAGGTGGGAGGGACAGAGTGGGTGGCGGCGGCGGCGGCGGTGTGTGTGTTGGGACGGGGGCACCTGGATGCACTCGCATTAACCACTGGGTTTATTTGTATTTTTCTCGTCTGCAAGTTTGGGGGGAAGGGAGAAGGAGGAAGGGTTGAGGTGCAAGTACCTCGTCCTTAGCACTCTCTCCTAGGATTGGGGCTAGAGTGGTGGGAGGATGGGGTGCGGGGAGGCTCGGAAAAATGACAGAAAGCAGAGACCAAGACGGGCAAGCCCACCTCTGGGCTCGGTCCTTGTTCCAAGCCCCGGGACTTCGCTTTCCTGGGAGTTTCAGAAACTCCTTCTTTAACTCAACTGCTGTCGCCCAAATCCTAACCTCTCCTCGGCCACTGCAGAGGCGTGGAACCCGAGGCCTGGGGGCGCAGGCTCGGCGGGTACCGCCGGCCCCGGCGGAGTCTACGCTGTGCGCCCTCGGCGCACTCCCTCTCCAGCGGCCAGGTCCCGGCGGCGCAAAGGCGCCCTTTCGTGGGGACTCCGCCGCTCACAGCCGAGGGCTATCTCCAGCCCGGCGCCTGGTGCAGCGCTGGGACGAGGCGCCCAGGCGCCGGCTCCGGCGGCAAACGCAGCGGTGGCGAGCGGAGGGCGGGCCTGGTGATCAGCTGCCCGCATCCCGGCCGAGGGTCCCACACCACCTGCCCGCGCAGCAAACTGCGTCTGTCGTCTCTGGCGCGGCCATCCCCACCGCCGGCATTTAGAGCCTGACTTCGCCGGCGGCCGCAAGTGCTAGCGCCTGCGATTTTTACTTTCCGTCCACCGGAGCGTCTTACACTTAAATTCACTGCGCCCCGCACGCAGCAGAGCCTCGCTAAGGGGTGTCTGGATGTAAAATCCTCCAAAAGGAAGTGTCCCAAGGTAGCGAAAGTGGAAAAGACTAATCGAATTTACGACAAAAAACCCTTTGCTTCTTTTTGGTTAAAACCCCTTTTGCGGGTTTTGAGAGAGAGAGAGAGAGAGAGAGAGAGAGAGAGAGAGAGAGAGAGAGAGAAGAAATTATCTCCACGCAGTACAGTGCCGCTAATTTCTGGAACCCAGTAATAAGTGGGATGTCCAGAAACCCCAGCGGGCTCACGGATTCCCATTTTCAAGCTCAAGAAGTAGGACTTTGGGATCCAGTGAACAGTGATTAGTTCGTGGGTGTCATCTGTTGAGAAGAAGCGTGAGATCTGTGAAGCCCTGTACTGCTGTGTGCTTTTGGGGGTGTGCCTGGAGGGTCTGCTAGGAAACTCATTTTCATTCATGAACTAGATCCCCTCAGATGACCTCCCCATGGGATGTCTAGATAAACTAATTTACCTAGATTTCTTACAAATTTCTTGCAACAAACTTTAAGAAAATTATACTCTGCCACTTTCTCTTACAAAACATCTCTTTTTAAAGAACATAAAAAAAATTTCAGAGATGTGCGTCTTGGTTTTATAAAAAGGCTGGTGTGCAGTGAGACCTTGCCTGCGGATGACTTCTCCTCGGTCCACGTTCCTGGAGGAAAGCACCTTTTGGTTTCTGTTCGGTAGAATTCAAAACGCCCAGGTCTGGTTTCAGAACCATCTTGGGGTCTAGGCTCCTGTCTGCCTGTCCGCCTG